CCTCCTCCGCTCTTCCCCCCCTCCTCCTCGTAATCCTCCCTTTCCTCCTTCCTAACCTTCCGCTCCTCCTCGCCCTTTTCCTCCTCCTCTTCTTCCTCTCCTCCTCCTCCTCCTCCTCCTTTTCGTCTTCCTCACCCTCCTCCACCTTCGCCTCCCCCTTTTTCTGCTCCTCCTCCCTCTCCTCTTCCTCCTCCTCCTCTTCCTCCTTTTCGTTTTCCTCCCCCTCCTCCACCTTCTCCTCCCCCTCTTTCTGCTCCTCCTCCTCCTCCTCCTCTTTGTTCTCCTCCTCCCCTCCTATCCTCCATCCTGCTCCACCACCCCATAATCCTCTTCCTCATCTCGGTATCGTCGTCCTCACCCGTGCCTCTCCTTGTCATCCCCCTCGTCCTCCTCTTCGACTTCCTGTTGTTCCTCATCATACTCCCTTTCTCCCTCCCCCTCATCCTGCCCTTCATCCTCTTATTCACCATATGTTTTTCTTTATGTTCGTTGTATAGGTGCATCTGCGCCAGTGTGTATATAGGCCAGCAGCTGCACGCTTTAAGGGCGGCTTTCAAAGTGGGACTGCGGCCTGAGACCTTCGGAGTTTGTACGATCCAAAGTTCCGGAGTGGACGCCGACGGCGCACGTGTAGAGCGTTTAATCTTCACATGTAGAGCGTTTCATCTTCAATCGTCGAGAGCAGCTCCTTTTCGAAACGAGACTGTCGCCTGAGAATTCCGCACATTTCAGGAACACCAATTCTGAAAATCCAACCATACGTTCCGCCTGAGAGTTCCCCGCGTTATACCATCCGACACGTCACATGTCACAGCCCTCTCACACATCGAGGGCGGGCCATTCTAAAACATTTGTTGTTGCGTGAGTTTTCCTGGAAGATGATAGTGCGATGTCCAACAAACACACTTGTTGCACTTTCGAGTGCGGTTGCTCTTCGAACTGGGGTTGCCGCTTAAGAGCTCCTGCAGTTACTTACTCCGCAGTCCCCAATGTCCTAGCAATTACGTATTTCGAGGGTGGATCCTTTTTCATACGGAGTCCTCGCATGAGACAGCCTGCAATTCGATGGCCCGGCTCACAGCAGCTACGCATTTCGCGGGCGGACCCTTTTCAACATGAGGCTCTCGCCCAAGACTTCCTGACATTGGTCACCAAAGCCTCACAGTAGAAGGCGTAGTTCTCAAACTTACAACAAATACATACTTTGAGGGGGGGATGGATTTGTATGTTCGGTAAGCTTTCGTTGCGCTTTCTTGAATCATGCTATGTTTCACTGATGGGTTGATGCAGGGTGTTTACATCATGTTGTGGCTCATGAGCGGAAGCGAGACGGGAGGGTCTATTACAGCATCTTTTACGGCATCTTCGGATAACTCTGGTCCTCCTCATATTCGTTCTCGTCCTCGTCCTCCTGTTCCCTTCCTCATCGTCGACCTCCTCCTCCTCCTCCTCGTCCTCCTCCTTCTACTCCTCCTCCTCCTCCTCTTCCTCCTCCTCCTCCTCCTCCTCTTCCCCTCCTCCTCCTCCTCATTCTCCTCCTCCTCCTCCTCCTCCTCCTCCCCCCATCCTACTCCTCCCCTCCTCCTCTCCCCTCCTTCCTCCTCCTCCTCCTCCTCCTCCTCCTCCTGCGAGAGTCGATCGCGGCGCCAGCGCGCGCGTGCTTTCGGGCGCGGGGTGGGGGGGGAGGGGGCGGATGATCCGGCTTCCCCCACGGCCTTGGGGGTAGAGATCCTGGACGGCGGCGCGCCGCCGTGCGAGCTCCCGCGGGCGGCTGGCTGCCTCGCCCCAGGAAGCTTGCCTGATCCTCCTCATCCACCCCGTCCTGCCCGTCCTCTGTCACCCCTCTCGCCCCCTCGTGCCTCCGACTTCCAAGCCGAGGCCGAGGCTGCCCGGGCTTCTCCCAGCCAGGCCGTCCCAGCCATGCCGCCCTGGCGCGACACTGAAGCCGAGCCCGCCCTCGTCGTTGGGCTCCTCTTGCTCCTCCTGCCAGTGCTTCCTGCTCCTGCTCCTCCTCCTCCTTCTCCTCCTCCGGGTGCTCCTCCTCCGTCTCCTCCTCCTGGTCTCCCCCTCCTCCTCCTCCTCCTCCTTCTCCTCCCCCTCTTCCTCCTCCTCCTTCTCCTCCTCGTCTTTCTCCTCCTCCCCCTCTTCCTCCTCCTCCTCCTCCTCCTCTGACTCTCTCCTCCCCTCGCCCGTTCTCCGGCTAAGCCAGGGCCGCGGCCGAGGCCGCCCGCCCAGGAGCACGGGGGAAGGGCTCGAGGGGGATTCTATACCGCAAGTCCCTCGGCTGCCCCCCCGCCCCCCTCTTCCATCGGAGGCGCGACGCCGACGCCGAGTTGGGGCCGAGTCCGCGGGGCGACGCCGGCGGGAGCCTGTCGGACTAACGCGCCTGGGCGGGCATGTGCATTCCCTCCGCTCGACCCCCCTCCCCTCCTCCCCGCTTCCCCTGTTGCGCCGCCGAGTACCGGTGGAGCGTCACGAAGGAACCACTAAGGAGCATCTGAGGAGCCACTAAGGAGCCACTGACGATCCACTAAGTGCCACTAAGGAGCCGACAAGTGCCACTAAGGAGCCACCAAGTGCCACTAAGAAGTCCCAAAGCCCAAAGTGCCGTTAATGAGCCGACAAGTACAACTAAGGAGCCGCTAAGTGCCACTGAGGAGCCCCAAAGTGCCATCAAGGAGCCGACAGGTACCACCAAGGAGCCACAAAGTACCTATATGGAGCCACCAGTGGAGCCACTGGTGACACTTAGTGGCTCCTTAGTGGCTCCTAATGGCACTTCGGGGCTCCTAAGTGGCACTTTGGGCTTTGGAGCTCCTTAGTGGCACTTGTCGGCTCCTTAGTGGCACTTGTCGGCTCCTTAGTGGCACTTCGGGGCTCCTTAGTTGAATTTAGTGGCACTTAGTGGCTCCTCATTGGCGTTCTACCAGTAGTCGGCGGCGCCAAAGGGGAAACGGGGAGGAGGGGGGTCGAGCCGAGGGAATGCACATGCCCGCCCAGGCGCGGAGCCGTCGCCGCGTTAGTCCGGCAGGCTGCCGCCGGCGTCGCCCCGCGGACTCGGCCCCAACTCGGCGTCGGCGTCGCGCCTCCGATGGAAGAGGGGGGCGGAGGGGCAGCCGGGGGACTTGCGGTATAGAATCCCCCTCGAGCCCTTCCCCCGTGCTCCTGGGCGGGCGGCCTCGGCCGCGGCCTTGGCTTGGCCAGAGAACGGGCGAGGGGGAGGAGGAGGAGGAGGAGGAGGAGGAGGAGGAGGAGGAGGAGGAGGAGGAGGAGGAGGAGGAGGAGGAGGAGGAGGAGGAGGAGGAGGAGGAGAGGAATGAGCAGCAGCAGCAGCATCATCAGCAGCAGCAGCAGGCGGAGGAGGAGGAGGAGGAAGAGGAGGAGGAGGAGGAGGAGGAGGAGAAGGAGGTGGAGGAGGAGGAGAAGGAGACAGGAGGAACCCGACGACGAGGGCAGGCTTGACTTCCAGGCTATAGCTGGACTGGCCTGGCTCTGACAGGCCGAGGCGGCCTGGTTGGAAGGGGGATGGGCTGCCTCGGCCTCGGCCCCGTACCCCATCCCCCATCCCCGTACCCCCAGGGCCGCCGCGGGAACGGGATCCCCCTCCCCCACCTCCCCCGCCCGTGCGCGCGCGAAGGCACGCGCGCTCGCTGGCGCCGCGATCGACCGATCTCTTGGTGGGTGCGCGGCAGAAGGAAGAGGAGGAGATCGAGGAGGAGGATGAGGAGGAGGAGGAGGAGGACGACGACGACGACGAGGAGAGGAGGATGAGGTCGAGGAGGTTGAAGAGGACCTTAGTTGTCCTAAGATGCCACAGCGATGCTGTGATACACCGTCCCGTCCCACGTCCCCTCCCCACGGGCCACAACATGTTTTTGGCAAATTGCATCCATCCATCCGCGTGCAGATTGCAAGCTTCAAGACTTTTTTAAACAGACTTATGTCGTTGGTGCGATTATCTTCGAATCAGCTTTATACGGGAACGATGCGATGCAACAGGCAACGGGAGGCAATGGGAGGCAACCGGAGGCAACGGCAAGCAACGGGAGGCGACGGGATGCAACAGGAGGCGACGACAGGCAACGGGAGGCAACGGCGGGTGACCGGTTCCAGATCTGGCGATACACGGGAGGCAACGGGAGGCAAAGGCGGGGCCCGGTTGCAGATCCGGCGAACCACATAACCGTTTCTATAGACAAGCTGTTCAGGGAGCCTCAGAAAGTCTCAGGCAGGTCATAGCCCCATTTTGAAGATGGCCCGCCCTCACAGTCTGTAATTGCTGCGCGTTTGGCACTTACGCCTTCTAGACTTCTGATTCAGTGATCAGGGAACGTTGGGAAGTTTCAGGCGACAGCCCCATTTTGAAATCAGAACCGCCCTCAAAGCGCGCAGTAACTGTGAATTCGAGACGTCGGGTCATAGTTTTTTTTTGATGTCTCATGCGAGAACACAGAATTTCATGAGCCGCCCTCGAAATGTGTAAGTTCAGTGAACTGTAGTATTGCGGAATGAAATTCACGAGCTGTCAGGCGACAGCCCCGTTTTCAAGGTCAATCGCCCTGGAAGCGTGTAGCTGTTGCGGCTTTCTCGAGGGACTTCGGTTTATGATCTGTGAGGACGTCTCAGTTGAGAGCTTACTTTTTCAAACGAGTCGCGTTCGATATATGAGCACTTTTGCCATGCCGCATGGTACACTTTGAAGGAAGTCTCAGGCGAAACCTGATGTATTGTCAGAAGTTGTGACCATGAAGCGTGCGGAAGTCTCAGGCGAGAGCCCGATTTGAAAATGAGCCGCTGTCGCAGTGTGTATACGCCGTGTAATGTGATACCTCTGATCGTGATAGTTCAGGAAAAACAAGCGGGAGCCTCATGTCGAGAACGAGACGCCCCAGAAGTGTGCAATTGTTGTGACCTTTGAGTCTTCGGATCGAGTAGCCCCCAAATTTGTGCAGACGATATCTCAGTGTCTAAAGAAATCCGCCCTCGAAATGTGCAACTGCTGTGACTTTTGCGATTCAGCTTTTGCGATTCATTATGCATGTGTAGATGTACAACGACAAGGGATGATGGAGGAGGAGGAGGAGGAGGATGGGGAGGATAATGGGGAGGAGTGGCCTGAGGAGGGTGGTGGGGGAGGCGGAGAAACACGACGACGACGACGACGACGATGATGATGATGATGATGATGCTGATGATGATGATGCTGATGATGATGATGATGATGATGATGATGATGATGATGATGGTGATGATGATGATGATGATGCTGATGATGATGATGAGGATGATGATGATGATGCTGCTGATGATGATGATGATGCTGCTGCTGATGCTTATGATGATGCTGATGTTGATGATGATGATGCTGATGCTGACGATGATGCTGCTGATGATGATGATGCTGATGATGCTGATGATGCTGATGATGGTGATGAGGATGACGATGATGATGATAATGATGATGCTGATGATGATGGTGTTGATGATGATGCTGATGAGGATGATGATGATGATGATGATGGTGGTGGTGATGATGATGATGATGATGATGATGCTGATGATGATGATGATGATGATGATGATGATGATGATGTGTGATGGTGGTGGTGGTGGTGATGATGATGATGATGAGGAGGAGGATGGGAGGAGGAGGAGGAGGAAAAGGGAACGGAGGAGGAGGAGGAGGAGGAGGAGGGAGGAGGA